CGTGGGACGTCGCCTGGGACGACAGTGATGACGCGGCTTTACTGAGAGGCGTATACGAATACGGTATGGGATCGTGGGAAGCGATCAAGTTGGATCCAGAGCTCGGCTTAACGGACAAGGTATTGAGTCGACTGTCATGCTTCAGGGCATTTCAAATGCATTGCATCGAATTTTAGGTTATTCTGCCTGACCGAAACAAAAAGCCGCAGGCAAAGCATCTACAGACTCGAGCCGAGTACCTGCTCAGGTACTTGAGTAAACTTAAAGAGTTCAGTGTCACTGACTCGGTAAGAACTTGTGATTATTGCGATTGTATTATTGTGAAATTTTTGTTTTGTGTTGATTTGATTTCCTTACAATCATATTCCCTAGTGAACTTTTCTTCTGTTAATTACAGAGTCAAAAAAAGGAACTGGCAGTGTCGAACAAAAAGAAGGTGCCCGACAAAAAGGTCAGCTGTTCGTCAGTAGAAGACTTGGTCTCGGCATCAAAGTCTGATCGCAAGGTGCTGAAACGACACCTGGAAGAACCTGACGAAGGGGACGCTACTGTCGGTACGGCTGCGAAGCCTTCGAAAGTTGTCAAGAAAGATGCAAAGAAGCACGTCCTCGAAAGACTTGTCCCGGTGACGAAATTTAACGACATGTCCATTGACAAGAATATCTGCACAGATCTTCCACAGCCCGTTTTTCAGCAGGTAGCGCTTTTATACTAAATTGTCTGAGTTGTTATGCGTTCTGCGGGTAGCGAGCAAAGTTCTTATTTTCTGTTATGCTTACTGTTTCACATTGATTGTTAATGTTATTCTTTAGATTAGCATATTTTAATCTTCGAATTAATTTTAGTGCAAGGAGGCAATGAGGCCGGTGAAAGGCGCCCTAAAGACTCTGGCATCGACCAATTCTCGCGAAGAGATCGGCGAGTGTTTGATCAGAATTGGCACACACATCTACGAATGCCTGGGCACCAGGGAGCGCGACAAAATCTCGTTGATCCATTGGTTTACGTACTTGTGGATATTTGTTTCGAAGTTTACTGAATCGAGCGCTTCGCATTTGTTGAAAAAATATAAAAAAGCTGTAAAAGAATTTATCAGCCAATATAAGGTAGGGTTGAAAGTTTCTGTTCTTCTGTAAATTTAATTGTCCACTGATTTAGACTTCGAACGAGGCCGACGATAACAGTCACCATTCCAATGCGGAGAAGCGACACCATCACAAACACCACCATCATTATAAACCCAGTGAAGAGCGATGCTCAAGGTCAGGTGGGTCTCCTTCTTCGCACAACAGGACTGCAATGGCAGCTGAAGCATGCACATTTTCTGACAGTCACGTTAAAGAGAATGGTCCTTCCACTTCGTCAGGGCATCGCTTCTCTGAAAGACACGAAGACTTGGAATATCGTGAGTCTCCTTTGAGTCGGACCAATAAGCGAGACAAGTAAATAGTTTATATATTTGTCTCTTTATTATTTTATTTCTATGTTTTTGTGCTATGCTGAAGGTTCGGGACGGTGTCTTGAATTGAAATTAAGGTTCGAGTCATCTAAACACAAAATGAACAATGATAGGATCTATTTTTTCTTGGATGCTTGCAGTCAATTTTGGCTTTTATTGACTGAGGTCCACCAACACAACTACGCCTCTGGTTGGGTCCATAGATTTTCTTTATTGTAATCGCTGTAACGAATCCCATTTGAAATCATGATCACAAATTAATTTTAATTAGCTTATCTGTTATGATATCTCCTGTGTTGTCATCAGGTTAGGAATGAGGAGAGATTGGTGGTTAGCGTTAGAAATGATTAGTTCAGCTGTTTCTTGATCTATGTCCTTGCTTGATTACTTGTTGTCCTTCCAGATGATATATATCCCTTTTTAGTTGAAAGAAAATAAAATGCATATTTCTAACCAACTTACCAAAATATTCTGTCGTAGATAGCGATGAATTGATGGTAGGTTTACCAAATCTAATAGATGATTTTTTAAATAAGAAGTCTGGTATTTTGTATATTTCAACTTACAAATGTTTTTTTCGTTATGTTTCGAAATTTCATGTATGGGAAAACAACGTATAAATCATTTACTTGTAATCATTTTATAAGGGAAAGTGAAGTTTCAGACTAAATTGGGTTTTCTACAGTTACAATTCTTAGAACTCTGAAAATGGACCGAGTTTGTCTGAAACATATCTTTCTCTTGTAAAATAATACGGCTTTTCGTGTTAATAATTTCTAAGGACCATACCGAAGCCCTGCCGATGATATCTATAACTTAATAAGTCTTCTAACTTTACGGTTGGCGGTGCAAAAATCAATAATGGTTCTGTTAGTGATGCGGTTTTGCACCTATGCACTGCAGATGCTCAAATTCCATGTAACCTTAGTCTGCTTAAATGGTCCCCTAGGCGGCTAGAAGCAAGGAGACGGTGCCATTACGCCGTTTCTGTCCGGTAGCAAAAAGAAAATGTTTATTTACCACTATCAGGATAAAACAACCCAGATGTTGTGGAGTAGCTTTCGATACCGCTGTTAAATATGACATTGAAAGTAACGATACCGGATTGAAACGGCGAAAATTCAGTGCAAAAAAAGAGAAATGTATTTTTCAATTTACACCATCTGCATTTTGCACCGTTTCCTTGCTTATAGTCGCCTTAGAGAACCATTTAAGCAGGCCACGTCTCCATGGTATTTAAGCTCCTGTAATGATAGGACGCCAAGTCGCTTTATTGGGTTAAACGAAACATGTTCAAGCCGAAACGCATTTCCCACGATCCATAGGCAAATATAATCAACATAAAACAATCCCGATGTTCTTGGGTAGTTTTCGATACTGTCGTTAAATATGACATTAAAAATAACGATCTATATTGAATTATTTACTTCTTTTCCAGCATTTCGACCGGTAGGGACAAAATTTTTAGAAAATCTCTTGTATGAAAGCTTGATCCTCACCTTTTCTTGGAGAATAGCATCCATGTCAATCAAATTGCCAACAATAATTGTAATCTGCTAGACCGGTCGAGCGTTGAAAACCAGAACACTGGAGAACCATTAGGTACTGTAACGTTTACCGGCCATTCTAGTTTCGTTTTTTATGCCCTGGAAAACGATCAGCAGTGTTACAGTGGTTGATCGACACTGTGACAGACTGAGGCTGTTAATCAAGGAGTCGCTTCACATCGCAGTCAAAAAACGGAACTTTTAACAGTTGCTTCGGCTTACGGACATTTCCGCGACGTGAGGTCTGATTATTTTCCTTATCAGTGATAGATCAAGCATCTCGTCAGTCAGGTCAAACATTATTTGACCCAGCAGTTACTTGCCAGTTCAGTCGAAATTGTGGATTGTGGATTTAAATAAAATGCTTGCTTGTTTTTCATGGTTCTAACGATTGAATCAGAACTCCTGTTAGCTTCTAGCTTTATGCGTTGCTTTCTAGTTCATGTGTGGCGTTCCGAAATACACTGTCAGTTCTTGCGTACAGAAGTCTTGTGACATGTTCAACATCAGCATATGTGGTTAATAGCTTAATTACTTCGAAATCGGATTTCAGGTTCATTGTACTGCCTCTAAGCTCCATAGCTTTAAAAATCATCATCATCATCATCTTCCATCGCCGCTTCTCCTTTCGGGTCGCGGAGGCAGACGCGTCAGACA